ACTGTCCCAAGGAGGATTTGAGATCCGTCAGTGGGCGAGTAATGACTCCAGTGTGGTAGAACACCTCCCCTCTGAGGCAAGATCTGTGAGCACTGACTTGTGGCTCTCTCAAGCGGGTGTTGATCCTGAAGAATCCACCTTGGGCTTGCGTTGGAGCTGCCTTCCTGATAGTCTGGGATACAAACACCGGGTGACTCCCCTTAGGATTCCCACACTCCGCCTCATATACCGTACTCTTGCCAGTCAATAAGACCCATTAGGGTACCTTTTACCTTATACCACCCGGGCCAAAGTGCTGGTGCAGGACTTGTGGAAAACCAAACAAGGCTGGGATGACCCCATCACTCCGTCTGAACTGGCAGATCAGTGGCTGAGGTGGGAACATGAACTGTCTGAGCTCCCCAGCATCAGACTGCCCCGCTGTTATGTGCCCCCTTGTGCGGACCAGTCGGGTATACACCGAGAGCTCCATGTCTTCTGTGATGCCGCGGAATGGGCCTATGGCGCTGTGGCTTATTTGCGTGTCCATGACAATCACATGCATGTGGCCTTCAACATGGCCCGTTCCAGAGTGTCACCAAAGAGACAGTTGTCAATACCGCGACTCGAACTGAGTGCTGCCTTATCAGGGGCGCAGTTAGCCACCACCTTGAGGTCTGAACTTACCATGTCATTGGCTCAAACTATCCTTTGGAGTAGGATACAACGGTGCTGACCTGGTTGAAATCTGAGTCGTGCCACTACAAGGTCTTTGTTGGCAACCGGATCGCAGAAATCCAGGAACTCACAGACAGTGATGACTGGAGATATGTAGACAGTTTAAATAACCCAGCGGATGCCCTGACCCGAGGCAAGAAACTATGTGACTTGGCTCGACCCAACTGCTGGACGACCGGGCCTCTCTTCCTGCAGAAGCCTGAAAATTGCTGGCCTGTTGCCCCTGATGTTGCCCACCCATCACCACTCGCAGACCGCAATGAAGTGAAGAAAGCTGCTTTGTGTCTGAATGTTTCTGCTGCTACCAGTACATTGCCAGACGTCTCCCAGTATCAAAACTGGAGTGACTTCATCATCGCCACTGAGCAGGTATGAACTCAGGCCGACAAAGTCTCCACAGGGGCTGCAGCCGAAACTTTCATTTTACAGCAAGCCCAGGCGTCATGTTTCCCAGAAGAACTCGATGCTCTCCAGAAAGGGAAACCTCTCCATAGGCAAAGTCGTCTCCTCTCATTGTCTCCTGAACTGGATCAAGATGTGGGGTTGTTGAGAGTGGGAGGAAGACTACGTCGATCCCAGGACCTGGACCCCGACATCATTCACCCAATTATTCTGGACCCGAAGCATCCTACTACGCAGCTCATCATTAAGGACTATGATGAGTCCCTGCTGCATCCGGTCCCAGAGAGGGTCTTTGGAGAATTGAGACGCAAGTATTGGATCGCAGGAGGAAGACCAGCCATCCGTAAACATCAGCACAGTTGCAGGGAGTGTCAGAGATGGAAATCCTCTCCTGAAGTGCCGAAGATGGCTGATCTGCCCCCGGCGAGGCTGCGTCTTTTCAAACCACCATTCTGGTCCACCGGGTTGGATTGTTTTGGACCCCTTATTATCTACCAGGGCTGTAGAACAGAAAAACGCTGGGGAATCATCTTTAAGTGTTTAACTACTCGTTGCTTACATCTTAACTTGCTAGGAAGTTTGGATGTTGATGCCTTTCTCCTAGCTCTCCGTTGCTTCATATCACGTCGTGGCAAGCCCTTGGAGATCTGGGCAGACAGAGGAACAAACTTCCGTGCTGGGGACAGAGAACTGAGTAAATTCTTCCAGGCGATGGAACCCAAGCTCCAGGAACACTTGGCCAATCAGCAGATTTCATTTAACTTCAATCCACCAGGAGCTCCACACTTCGGTGGAGCCTGGGAGCGTGAAATCGGATCAGTTAAGAATGCCCTGCGAGTGATTCTGGGAAAGCAGACCACCTCTGAAGTTGTCCTTCAAACTGTCCTGATAGAGGTAGAAGGCATCATGAATTCAAAGCCTCTAGGTTATCTTTCCTCAAACGCAGCGGATCCTGATCCGATCACTCCCAATTTGCTCCTGATGGGGCGGCGGGATGCCTCTCTGCCACAAGCCATGTTTGTCAGTAGTAAGCTCCTTGCGCGAAGGAAGTGGCGTCATAGCCAGATTTTGGCTGACCACTTCTGGACCCGGTTCATTCGTGACTATTTGCCTAACCTACAACCCAGAGGAAAGTGGATTAGGGAAGTCCAGAATCTCGAAGTAGGGAAGACTGTTCTGATCTTTGACCCACAACTGCCTCGGGCCTCTTGGCCAACAGGGCGTGTCACCACCGTCACGACCGGGAGGGATGGGCGTGTCCGGTCAGTGGACGTCCAAGTTGGCAGTCGGATTTACACAAGACCAGTGTCACGTTTGATGGCGCTTCCGGAGCTGGCAGAGGAATGAGTCTTTTTCTCAGGAGGAATTGATCCCAATTCCGGGGCGGCTATGAAAAGACTCCTGCCCTTCTATTCCCTTTCAACTCCATTTCGCTCTTTCAATGATACTTTGCCACCTGTCACCTGGCCACACCCACCTCACCTGTTGCCTATAAATTGATTGTGAACCCTTTGGCTCATTCTTTGCACTCTCTCCTGGCACTCTGATGCATAACTGTGTGCGTCTTAATGAATTACGTGAGTCCATCTATTAATTTGATTGTGTTTTTCTCTCTTTATGCCTTTTTATGATTTACTGTCACTCTGTCAACATGTGCACTGCTGATTGATTAATTTGTTTGCCAGACATGTGCCTTGAGCCATGTGGAAAGATTGTTTGTTTGAATTATGTTTTACAGTCTGTTTTATTGTGATTAGTACACTCACATCTTTGTTGTTCATTTATATAATTGTTCAATTTGTGTTGATTGATCACTGTCACCAATTGTATTATTTCTTTGTTGTCCCCTTATGCAGCACACAGACAATGCATTGACCCAAAGTCAACATGCATGATGCAATAAAATACTACTGGTGTTGAAAAAAAGTCCTTGCCTTCTCCCTGCCTCATTCATCGTTCCATATCATTTGACGTCTTCTGACCGAGACTCTGTTTGCTCACCAAACCTCACTCTACCTGAACCTTTTCCATCACCCTACAGTGCCTACAATGGCAATATGCCTGTTACCGCACTGATGATGTGAATCTGCACTGGTTTTCTGTTGGTCTTTCTGAACGGCTCTTCGTGTGAGGCGTTCCTCAGAGTCTTGAAGTAATATAATGACTAAGGGATTATTATTATAGTGTTGATTCACAGCATGCTTTAATGAATTTCTTCAGTGAGATAGATATTGTTTATTTTGTTTAACAGGTGTAATCAGAAGAGGTCATTTTATAGCTTCCTTTCCATTCTTAAACCTCTCGGGACACCTAAAAAAGTGTGTGTGTGTCTGTCTGTCTGTCTCCCTGCCCGTCTGTGTGTGAGTGTGTGTCTCTCTCTCTCTGATTCTGTGTGTGTGAGTGTAAGAGTGTGTTTGTGTGTGTGTGTGTGTGTTTGTGTATATGTTTGTTATATACTGTGGTTTAATAAACTTGTTTAAAACAAAAATAACTGTTCACGTGAAAAAAATCCTCGGTTGCACAGATCCAGTTAAAAACATGATGCCTTTATAAGACCTAAATATCAAGTCAAAAAATCACATTTATCACAAAATATTGCATAGTATAAATGCTGACGTAGGTCAATATCCTGTTTATGTTTTTGGCTTTGTCCTGTTTCTGAGGTAGATTCTGTGAAGGTTTTCTTTATTAAGTAGCGTATAAAACACTTATAATGCACATGAAGGAACAATCTCAAATCATTGCATTAGGGTTGTATTTGAATAGCAAACTATAAATGCTGATTCATGCGGCACAATTTGTTTTTCTCGACCTTGAACACATTGGACTTTAGAGACAAGTCAACAAATACGCCTAACCATTTTCCAGAGGTCTGATTGGCTGTTGGAGGTGTCATCCTGGTTATATGTGAGGGAGCTATGAAGGTAAAAGAGTAGCAAAACTTGAGAGTACGTAGATGTGAATTTGAGAACTTGTACAATAAATATTCGTACGTTTACGCTAAAATTTAGCGCTTACAGATCGAGAGAAAAAATCATGGGCCAAACCGACTCATCAACAAAATCTCTTTATAACCAGTCTTTAGAGATGCCATGCCTCTTACCAGATATAGGCATAGATGAGTCTCTGCTGAAATATTCTGGTCTCGACTCTAACGCTGAGCTGCAGGCTTACTCTAATGAGATGCTCAAAGTGGTGCCAGGTTACGTCCAGAGTTTAGGATCTGCCGTTGGTGCACTGAATTCAGTCCCGAATGCTGTTGGTCTTGGAGCTTTAGTGATTTCCTTGATCTTAGAGCTCATCATCAAGAGCAGCACTCAGACAGGTGATAACACATACAGCCTGTTACGACGTGTGTTTGGGGAAGAGAAAGCTTCGAGTGTCCGGGACACAATGTCAGAGTATCTGAGACGTCATCGCATGTACATGAAGAATAACCAACGATTACAGGGGGAAATAAGGAGACTAGAACAGCAGCTGAGCAACCATCTCACCATCCTCAGAAACTCCCTGCTGCATGACGGACAGATGAGCAGCCGTGGGTTCAAGATCTGGGTCAACGGAGCTGCCTTCCACGTCCTGATGTTGATCCATGAGGCTCGTCTGGATATGCAGACTGGTGAACCTGCATCAGACTATCTTAATGCTATCGAAGCTTCCATCGACTTGTATTTACAAGACCTGGATAACTTACTGGAGAAATACAAGACTTACAAGATCAAGTCTGGCATTATCAGGTATGAGCCTGCTGTCGCTAGCGGTTACATGGGCGGTTTTGTATACGTTCCAGCTAAATGTTTTATTAAAAATTATGAAAACAAAAACTGTTTATTATATATTGAAGAGAACTCTGAATGTCGTTCTCCAGAAATTTCTACGACTTTTATGGATGTTGTTTACTCAAATTATGAACCGATCAAAGGTTTAAAGAGTTATTTTTTAAATAACAAGAACAACCTCAACTCTCTAATCCATGAACGTGGTTCATTCACTCTGCCGTCGGCAGCAGGCTAGTCTAGATATTTGAGTTTAATGAACATGACACAGTAAAGGACAAAAAATAATGTCAAGGAAAACAATTGTAAGATAATTGTTTGTTTGTGAAGACTCAAAATTTCATCATTTAATATTGTTTTTAGCATTATTACTTTTTAATAATATTCATAATCAGTAGTTTTATATCGGTTTTATAATTTTTATATACATTCATAATCATTTGTAATCATTCTATTTTATGAATCATACTGTTCACATACTGTTCTGAACACATACTGTATGTGAGGAGAGAGACTTTTGAGTGTGTGCGGGAATAGTTAGAGACTGAAGTATATGCAGTGTATACTCACTTATGACCTTATGTTAATAAATAAAATACACACTGTTTTCAAATACAGATTGTTTATTTGTATAAAACAATACATATGTCTCAACAAATATATTTTTAAATTACAAACTATATATTGGGGAGTCTAGCATTTAATGTAAATATGCATAATTGTGTACATAAATTCAAAATACACAAGTGCACAGACAACACACATATTGAATACAAAACCTATGCAAATATGTACAAACAATACACATTCAAAACCTACACAAGCATGTACATAGAGTACAAATAGATCAAATACTGTATAGCACAAAAACTACACATTAAATTCCTATACAAATATGGACAGAATACACAAATTCATAACATTAAATCCTAATCACAACTTTATTAAAAGGTCTTCACTGTACACTGAATGCATTGATGTGTTGTTGTAAACATACTTTGAGTAATAAAACTACAAATACATATGTTGACTACTGGATCCTAATGATGATGATGATGATCAAAGTTCTTGAGGCAGCAATGTGTTGAAGGATATATTAAAGTTTGATGAGTGGTAATACTTTATGATACTGTTTCTTACTTAGAAATACTGTTAATATTTAATATAATATAATACTGTTTTTTTCACATAGCAGCAAAATAGACTTAAAATACATTTTTGGTCAAACAGACTTCAGAAATATGAAAAAATAAACAGTTAAATGTCTTTTTTTTATGTGTCCACTTACAATCGAAATAAAACATTGTGCTTTGGTAAAATAAAGAAAATAAACAGGGTGTGCTTTCTGCCTCTCCGTCTCCGTGAACTTTTTTCTGGAGCACGTCTCTAAACTTAAACAAAACTCAGCGAATACTATTCACCCAGGCATGAGCTTTATAATCATTTAAGTGTGTACTTAAAACAAATATTCTCAGTTTATGTAATCTATTTAAAAAGAGAGAGATGTCAGTCGTTCTCATTTCAACTCATTTCAGCTCATTATAGTTCATTATCTGTTAATGTGACCACGCCCACGGAGAGCGCGCACTATTCAAACGCAAATGTTCTGAGGCGATACATGCAAACGTGTCAACGCCCACACAAGCTCGATAAAACACACCAAGTTTAATCAGATTAATGTACTATGTCGTCTTGCTAGGCTGTGAGGAATAATCCTGGGTAATTTACCTCAGAAGTGCTGGTTTACTGCATAACTAATAAGGAATTATTGAAGAACTAATAGGTAATTCTTCATTAACTACTTCTTGTTAACTACTAAGGAATATGTGTTAAGGTATGTAATATAATTTAGTTCTAACAGTTAGTAAATCAATAACTAATGAATTCTGTCATACCTCCTGAAGAACTACTAATTATCTACTAGTCAAGTCAAGTCAAGTCATCTTCATTTATATAGCGCTTTTAACAATGGAGATTGTTTCAAAACAGAGATAAACATACAATTTACGGTAACAGAGATTGTTTTGGCTTTATAGCGTTTTTTGAATAATGTTATTTCCAGCTAAAGTTGGTTTTGATTGATTCACTTCCAGCAAAATTATCATTTGTTATTACATTAGGGGCCACTAAGACGACGGCGTTCTCTCTAAACAGACAGACTTTAAACGCGAACCTGTGACCTGATGGCGTTCACATGCGCATTAAAAATTGATTCTATAGTTAAATTCGTTTGAATATGTGTGCGCAGGTTTGTAATTTCCCAACAAACCATGCCTAAACAAACTACTTGTCTTGCCTATAAATTTGATACAGAATTTTATTTTATCACTTCGAGGTACGCGGACCGGATTTTCAACAACGCTTTATCTGTAGAGTGGGAAAGGGATCCTCCATAGGGAGAGGATAGTGGACACTTCAGCACTGCATTGTCATCGGGTCCAGGCGAAGCTCCTTTGTCAGATCTGGATACGGCCTGGATCCGGCAGGCTGCAGGAAAACCTTGGGATAAACAAAGACACTAAAGTTAGCGTAGATGCCATTCTTCTTGTGATGTAACGAGTACATCAGGATTTATGGGAAGTGTTCCCAGTTCCGGCTGACCTAATCTATGCAGCCTAACATTGAATTATCGAAGTCTATAATGTATTATGTGTATGCTAGGTCAAAGAGATGTGTTTTTAGTCTAGCTTTGAACTGACAGTGTGTGTCTGCTTCCCGGACAATGGTAGGAAGACTATTCCAAAGTTTTGGTGCTAAATAAGAAAAGGATCTCCCGCCAGCAGTCGATTTAGATATTCTAGGTATTATCAACTGGCCGGAATTTTGAGATCGCAATAGACGTGAAGGACTATAATGCGTTAAGAGCTCGCTCAAGTACTGCGGAGCTAAGCCATTTAGTGCTTTGTAAGTAATCAACAATATTTAAAAATTTATATGATGTTTAATAGGCAGCCAATGCAGTGTTGACAGAACCGGGCTAATATGGTCATATTTCCTGGTTCTGGTAAGAACTCGAGCTGCTGCGTTTTGAACTAGCTGTAGTTTATTTATTAAGCGTGCAGGGCAACCACCCAGTAGAGCATTACAATAATCTAGCCTTGATGTCATGAACGCATGAACTAATTGTTCTGCATTTGTTAATGAGAGCATATGGCGTAATTTAGATATGTTTTTAAGATGGAAAAATGCGGTTTTACAGATACTAGACACGTGACTTTCAAATGAGAGATTGGTATCAAAGAGCACACCCAGGTTCCTAACCTAAACAAACTACTTGTCACTACTTGTACTAATTAAGGTTCAAGAAAAATAACTAAGAAGTAACTAATGAACAGTCATACAAAACTACATTGAGTTGTGACCTTTCTTATTCACTAATGTTATTAATAGAAGTAGCAATTTTAACAAATACATATAATGTTAAAGCTAAATGTTTGCCTGTGTGGTTTTGTGAGTGTGTTCTGTCAGCCCGTTCTCATCCCAAGGTGTCATACATGTGACGCTTTTGACATCTCGTCTAAATCCGACGCACATGGCATCCTTTAGCGTCAATATGAGACGCAGATCCCAAGGCGTCATAACCGTACCCTACCCCAGACCTAAACCTACCCATAACAGTGCGTGTTATATTGACGCTAAAGGATGCCATGTGCGTAAGATTTCGACGAAATGTCATATGGTGTCACCTATATGACGCCAAAGGATGAGAATGTGTTGGTTCTGTAAGAAATCAACAGAAAGGAACCATACACAAGTGCTTTGCCATAACTAACCTCAGATTAGTTTTATATTGTAGTACTGTGTGTCTGTTTTCCTCAGCATAGAATGCCATTGAGTAAATTCATGTATTTTAGGCAACGACTGAGGGGAACTGAAAATATAGGGAACTTATTAGTAATTTATAAATAATTATTAGATAATTCTTCAGGAATGACTGAAACAGTATTCTAAAGTGAAAATATAGGGAACCCCTTAATAATTAATAAAGAATTATCAAATAATTATCCAGGAATTAGGCAACTGATAACCTGAAACAGTATTCTAAAGTGAAAATATAAGGAAATTAATTGTAAATTAATAAAGAATTATTAGATAATTCTTCAGGAAGTACTTAGAACCTGAAAAAGTATTCTAAAGTGAAAATATAGGGAACCCATTTATAATTAATACAGAATTACCACATACTTCTGACTTAAATCAAACTTACTGTAAAAAACAAAAACACACTATGAATGTAATGTACATTGTGATAAGTTTTGCTAATGAAATAAAAAGTTATTTGCAGATCAATATATCCTATAGGTAAATGTCTGCACTTATCTTTCTTATTAGAGCTGAAGAATGACTAAAACTGTCTAGAAGTAAATCAGTGCCTTTTACTTTTCAGGTAGGCTACTTTAAAAATGAATTACCTTTGTACTTTTACTAAGGTCATTTTGAAAATGAATAGGCGTAATTATAATTTTACTGGAGTAATATTTTATTGTGGTAGCTGTACTTTTAATCAAGTACTTGATTTGTGTACTTCATTCACCACTCCACTGCTAACACACACTCACCTAAAGGATTATTAGGAACACCCAGTAGCGGTTTTAGGCACGGGCGAACCGGGCAGTCGCCCGGGGCGGCATTTTTTCATGTCACGTGGGGGGCGGCACGAGCAGTTAAAAAAAAATCCTCTGCGCCGAAGGTTTTCTATTTTCTATCATTTCAATTCAATTATTGGTAATGGCGCCCCTGCTTGCAGAGAAGGTGCCGTCCGTGCGATGTCAAGGGAGTCTCCTGATTGGAGGTAGCTCCATGGGCCGTTCACGTATAGAGTCTTTTGCGCGCTCAAGGTCTTTGTTTCAAATGTAGGCGCACGGGAAGCGCGCTCATAATTGAAGCGACACGCTCATTTTTTCCAGGAGCAGCGAGAGTTTTTCTGTGGTGGAAATCCATTAGCTACTAAAACTTCTTTGTCGTTGTGGAGAGCGCAGTGCATGGTTGTATATCAACGACAGCCATGGGAAAATCGGACCGAATTTTACTATTAATTAGGGGTGTAACGGTTCACAAAATTCACAGTTCGGTTCGATACGATACACGTGTCACGGTTCGGTTCAGTACGGTTCGGTACGTTTCCGATACAGCAAAAAGAAAGAAATGCCAGAGAAATTTCCTTGATTTAATTTTTTTATTATATTTTTATTAAAACTAGGGCCGGGACTCGATTAAAAAAATTAATCTAATTAATTAGAGGCTTTGTAATTAATTAATCGAAATTAATCGCATTTTAATTGCATAAATATTTGACCTGAGAACAGTGAGAAGTAATTTTTTTCACATGGATTTTTAGTATACCATTGAATAATGACAATACATAAGCTTAATCAACAACATATTGTTTATTTTTGTTCAACTAAGTCCAGCAGACCAGTGCAATTTTTGCCATTAAGTGTAGCAATAGCTACACTAATAGCAATAGCGAATTCCTTGTTGCATAACTTGCAACCATGCTGTTATCGACGATTCCATCCGTTCGTTTTTTATAACAAAATTTCCCATCCACGGGGCCAACCAAAGCGATGTAGGCGATCTATGAAGCAAGCGATCTCGTCAGCTTCTTAATCATGAACGCTAGTTGGTGCTCCAGTATAATCGGTCCGCCAAAACTCATCCAGTGAGAAACGTTTCGCGGTGCAAAAATAAGTGCGATTAAAATTATTTTTTGTGTAAATTAACGCGTTAAAGTCTGTAATTAATTAATCTTAATTAACGCGTTAAAGTCCCGGCCCTAATTAAAACTAACATCATTTTTTTTTTACTTTGAGCAATGATGGAGCTATACTTGACTTTTCTTA